TTCCGACATCTAATTTTTGAAAACCAGGGTATTTTTGGACACAACATTAATAGGTTCTCTTATTCCTGTGGTCTGTTGATCGCTTTCTTTAAAATTCTTTGAGCGATCATCGGATGAATAACTTTTTTGGTGTCATTATTTTAGCGGCCATTGAAACTTCACGGGCCGGTTTACGAGTGACGTCATAATGGCCAAGATCATCGGGCGCGCAATCGCATCGCTACGCAAGCAAAGTTGACCTCTCCCTCCTGGTTGCAGGCATTTTGTAGTTTTGTTAAGGTGTACCGCTGACCAGCAAAATACTGTATCGCGCCCCATAAAACGTATTTCCGCGGTGTCTACGTGCACCCAAGTGTACAAGTGTAGCGTTGTAGTTTCGTCCTTCGTGGCAGACATGTCAAACACCTTTTGACCAATTGTTATGTGTTGTTGTTTCTTCCAATGAATCTGAGATTATTTTCAATACTAGGGGACGGGACGGTGTTTGCCAGGTGAAAGCTCGAAACCTATCGATTGTGATTTCCACAATGAGGGTGTTTTGTCGGATCTTTCTGCGTGTAGCGAAACACATTTACAGCTGCCTTTGAAGCTTAATATTGTTGGTAAGAAGTTTTGTGAAATGTAGTGTATTGTAGTATGTTGTTTGTAGAAATGGAGTGAGTAATTAATGGCTCAAGTTTAGGGAGCCATTTCGACTTGTTCATCAGCAATTTAAGTATTGTTGATCGTGTTGCTTTGCTTTCAAGCGGCACGAACTAAGCTGGCACTAGTTTGTATAGTCCACACTGATGTGTTTTGCATTTTGCAATTAGGATCTATCGTGCTATTAAACTGCGTAGTATCATTTCCCTTCGTCACGGGCATAAAGAAACGCTGTCATGCCGTCAGAGCAAATTTTCACTCAGGTTATTTCCACCTTGTATCGCCAAATGCCACCAAATATACAGCTTAGTCAGGCGTTCTGATATTACGCGATGGCGTACAATTCGCACAATCGACCTCAAATCGCATCCGATCGCACAATTCACGAAAAATCGCATAATTCACAAAAGAACGCACAACATTCATTAAATAAAACATAAATCAACAAGTTTCTTTGGAATTCCTGCATAAATATGCCATTATTAAGATGATTTACCTTGGAAAAAGCCTAAGAAACCTTTGTCACCTTCGATTAGTTAGTTAGTTAGTTAGTTAGTTGGATAGAAAATTCTATAGAGCAGAGCAAAAGCAGTAGTTTCGAAATAAAGTGCAGGATTGCGAGGATTGAAATTGGTTACAGTTCAAGAAATTTGAGTTTAGTTCAGGATGTCAAGAAATCAGGATGTCAGGATGTCAAGAAATCAAGTTTACAATTCTTGTGTCTTGTGAACTTTCGAGCCTTCATTTTGTCTGATATTTCTTTGGTTCTATCAGTATTGGCAATGACTTCTACCGATTTTAATGTAAGCTTAAAGTAATCTCCTGGGCACAATAGTGAAAACAAATGTACATGTACAATACATTTCCCTGAATGTTCCCTACCAAGCACAGTCTCTAAAAATAAATTAAAATAGGTCACCATGCTTGCAGAAGAGATATGATGCACCAGTCTTACCCTATTTTGCAAGTTCTTATAAATAGTACTATTCATTTATTTTATCACTCCACATTACATTTTGGCTGGAAGGTACAGTTTTTTTTTATGAACTTTGATAGGCATACATGAAGCTTTGAGCATAAGGAACAACATAATAAACAACTTATGCAAAAGAATCTAAAATAATCCAAATGACATACAGTCAAAGCGTTCCTCAATTTGTTGGATTTTAAGATCTTAATTTGTGTCCACGAGTAATGATTTTGTTTTGGATGCTATTGAATAAGTGTAAAATTCTGCACTTGAAGGGTTTGCAATGTAGTGCTAAGGAATCACCAGTAAAGGTCAGGGCTGTTTGTCCTTCTTTTCTTCTTTTCCTCTGTTGTTGACTGGCTTCCTTTAAGCTGTTTGTTACGAAGCACTGTTTTGTAGACACGCAGTGTTTTATAGTCATCATGTGAGGCTACTTCAAGAAGTGCTTGCACAGGTTTCCTTTTCTATGCAGCTGGTCCAATTAGTACATAATAGGGATACATGCCAATGCCTTGTCATGTCTTCATTAGGTGGCATTGCAATTATTTCTTTGCACCACCTCTTGTGTGAGGAACATTGCCATTCTTGATATCTTCTGGAGAATTTATTCATGTTTTTGGATACTTGGGTTTTTTGTTCTTTTAATGTGTAAAAAGAATTAAAGAAGGGGAAAAAAGGTTTGTTTATCTACTTGTATTTTTATTCTCAAGGATGTCTTTTATCACTTGGGAGATATGGCTTAGTTCTCACCAGCTAAACTTTGCCACTAGAGATTCAGTTTGTTCTGTTTTGGTTTCATTGTCAGTTGAAATAGACTTTAAAAACCTAGGTCCTGGTAAGATAGTCATACTCTTACAGTTGTTTCTGATTGAATTTTGTTTTCTTTTAAATTTCCCTTTACTGAGGAACAACTTTTAATCTACAAGTCTGTATGTTATTTTAAAACAGTCAGTCTAACTTAAAATACAAAATTTTTGCATTTGTGTGATTTTGTGTTTAAGAATAATGCTTTGAATTTCTGTTTTTGCAGTAATGAATGATCATCATGGGTTGGATGAGAGAAAACATACACAAACCAAAGAAAGTCTTAGTAGAGAAGGGACTAGGGATGGTGAGCATCAGGCCTTACTATAATTATATGTATCAGTTGCAATGTGCTGATATCTTTTTTAGAGTTGTGTCTTGCCAAAATAATTCATTTTTTTGGTTACCTCTATGTAAATGGGTCTTGATGGCAGCACTTTCTCAAGAATTTTAGGGCTTATGTCCTTATATTATGCTTCAATATCTGGTTAGCTTATGAGTTTTTTCTTGTCACTAAGTACTCCAGCAGTACTAAGAAGAACATTGCAAACCAAATGCGTTAGAGAAAGCCAACTTATAGTTTTGGCTATTATTTTTCAAAACACATCTTTTCGGAACCCGAATAAATTAGCCAGTTTCTAATTTTTAATTCCTTTTCATCCCTACTATGAAGGCTTAAAATTTAGCACAGGGAGTGTTAAGTAGATGGAGTTTCAAAATCTTAAGGAAGAAGTGATTGTACAGTACCACTTTAATGCATAGCTTAATATTGAAAAATTGATATAAAATAAAATTCTCAACTTACCAGTAGTTTCGAAGGTGCTGTGGTATATTATAGGTCAAGGTAAAGAAGTATGGCAGTGATACAAGCAATTTTTGTTACATGTTACACAGAAGATGTTTGCATATCATATATAGTTACTTAAGCATTTGTCACAGTGCACATATTTTTTCTATTCTTTGTTGTGACTCTTATTTAAAACCCCAGAAGCTGTGAACAAGGCAGCTTGTAAGAAGTTGAGCTTTCTGTGTTAGCAAATAACAACCTTAACTTTTGAAGTGCCATTTGCAAAGTAACCAACAGCACTCAAATGACAAAACTGGTAAACCATACATGTACAATTGCCCCTACTGTATTCTACATGTATACTTACAGCCTGCAAACCACTCACTTTCTTTCCTACAATGGTGTGGGGTATAACAAACATAAATGAATTACGAGAGGCTGAGGAGTCGAGGGGGCAGAGTCAAGAAAACTTTTGGATGCCGCAAAGCTCTTAGAATGGGCTTGATGGCTATTAATGCTGTGTTCAACACTATTTTCTTGTTAATTTGCCCTTTGGGTAACTTGTTCTGTTTTTCTTGGTTCCTCATGTGTCTTTTAGTTGCCTACCTAGTAGACTTTTGTTGCCCTTTAGCACTCATGAGAAAATTTAGACTTGCAGAAATGCTCAACTTTATTTTATAAACTTGCCTTCTTGTTTTGGTGTTGCAACAGTCATTGGGTGATTAATCAGTCATAGAGCACATCCCTCACAAGATTTTAAACATCCACGAACTGTGCCCACACATTTTGAGACTCCACTTTTCTGACAAATAGACCCAGTGATGCACTTTTACTGGTCAAACACGATGAACCAACTGTCATGAATGAAAACATAATTCATGCTCTGAAGCACATCATTATCATTAATATTACTGTTATTATTTTTGTTTTCATCGTTGTAGGTACAGGTGTGCATACAGTCCCTAGTTCTGTAATCAAATTTTCGAGGAAAATTGGGTGCGATATCTCTGTTTACGATATCTCTCCGTTTATCTCTGAATTACACTAATGAGCTATTGTCTTCTCTTAACGTTAGGTGAAAACACAGTAATGTCTGAGCTGTCTCAATGTACTAAAGATTGTCACTTTCACGGATATGGTTGTGCAGTTGATTGTGAGTGCTCATGCACATTCTGTTATTGAGAGTCTTTTGTTGAAAAAGGAATGTCCAAAAGTGTAAATGATTGTCGTTTTGTGACAAGGAATTTTATTTCGACAAAAATGAAAATACATTTACAGCCAATGAATGTCGAAGGGAGGAATTGTTTACCTTTTGATGATTTTGAATGTTATTACACATGCAAGTGTTATTCTTGAACGTTCCTTACGAGCACATGAAGGTCATAATTATTGGTGTAAATGAGGGTATGTTGACCATAATGAAACAAATTTGGACTCAAATGAATGGATATTTTCTGTAAATTAACAGCAAAAGGTGTATTGTTATTATTAATAATATTGCCTTTTTAACTATATATCAAGGAACTGCGAAAAGATAGCTCAACTTGTACCTGTACCTCACCAGAGATCAGTCAGGGAGTAGCTTACAATCCTGACAACAGTGCCCCATTTCTTTTTGAGTCACAACAGTAAAACTTGTAGCCAAAATATTGCAGTACCGTGCAATTTGTGTGGAAAGACTTTGACACAAAAGTTATTTCCAAATACTGTTGTAAAATGCTTCTTTGAAAATTCAAGGAGGTTATTAAGCATTTTATGGCATTTTGAGAACTGGGGATTAATGCTTTTTATGGTTCACACGATCACTAATCGACTAGCCACTTTGATTTAGCAAGCTTTGGTGCAAGCTTCTCACAAAATTTGGGTTCATGGCTTGTTTTGGAAAT